GAAGGAAGGAAGGAAGGAAGGAAGGAAGGAAGGAAGGAAGGAAGGAAGGAAGATTGGATGAATCGATGCATCGAAGGATCCATGGATCGATGGATTGGTGAAGGGATGAGTGGAGGTATGGATGGACGGAAGGATGGAAAGAAGGACAAGCAAAACGAAAGCAAGAGATCTTTCAGAAGTGTAAACCACGATCCAGTTTTAAAGGCCTTTGTGGGGAAGACCCCCAGAAAGTCAGGGAGCATCAGCAAGACCCCCCCTCCTCTCCCGCAGTCCCTAACCCCAACCAGGCGCCCCCTCCACCCTCACGGCCAATGCATCCGGTGGGCACAGCTCCCCCAGCATCCCCGGTCCCTCCGAGCGGGCCCGGCCTCCGCAGATCCAGGACAGGACGGGGCAGGCCGGGGGGCCGTGTGACATCAGGGCCCAGAGCTGGCGGAGTTTCCCCAGACAGGATGGGAGAACAAAGGCTGGAATGGCGTAGAGGAAGAGGCGTCTTCCCGGGGACGGAGCTGAGCACGCAGAGGCCATGGAGTACGAAGCGAAGAAAGGGAAAAAGGTAGGCAGGATAAGACCACAAATGGGGTCTTTATGGGGGGGGGGTATAGAGGAGAATGGAATAGAAAAAACAGAGTCGGAAGGGTCCCCGGAGGTCTTCTAGTCCAACCCCCTGCTCAGGCAGGAAACCCTACAAGTTTTTCAGACAAAGGCAGCCGTTCCCATCACGAGTGTGGCAAGAAAGGTCGTAAAATGGGGCAGCAGAAATTTTGGGCTGGACTGGGGTCGTTAAGTCAAGGGGCTTACCTGTAGTTACACCTCTTGCCACCTGCACGGGTGACTTAAGCAGGTCCCAGCATCCGACGCCGGTTTCATAAACGCCACCTGGCTGGGTCACCTCGCTGTGTTTCTTCTCCACCTCAGGGGCTAGTGCCTTGAGCCAAGATTTAGCCACTAGATCAGAGGTCCCCAACCTTTTGGGCACCAGGGACCGGTTCTGTGCAGAGAGGTTTTTCTGCACACCAGAGGGTGTGTGGTTTTGTGTGCTGCCTGCATCCCGCGGATGGGGCCTTGCTTGTTTGTGTGGACCGGTTGCTGGCATGCTGTGGCCCGGTACTGGTCCACGGACCGGGGGGGTTGGGGACCCCGGCCCTAGATGACCCTTTGCTGGATAGTCCCCACTACCACCATGTAGTAGCTGTTGTTCCGTGCTGGGGTTCTCTAAGGGGCTGGATGACAATGGCTGGGAAGGGTGGGGGGTTGTAGCTTGTTCGGTCTGGAGGCTGCCAGCTCAGGTGAGGAGGCAACCTGCCCAGGTGATGACCCACGAGGACCTGGGAGTAGGGTTTCTCCCCCCCCCNTCTCTCTCTCTTTCTCTCTCTCTTTTCTCTCTCTTTCTCTCTCTTCTCTCTTTCTCCCTCTTCTCTCTCTTTCTCTCTCTTCTCTCTCTTTCTTTTTCTCCTCTCTCTCCCTCCTCTCTCTCTCTTTCTCTCTCTCTTTTCTCTCTTTTCTCTCTTTCTCTGTTCTCTCTTTTTCTCTTTTTCTCTCTTTCTGTCTCTCTCTCTTCTCTCTCTTTCTCTCTCCCTCTTCTCTCTCTCTTTCTCTCTCTTTCTCTCTCTCTCTCTTTCTTTCTCTCTTCTCTCTCTCTCTTTCTCTCTCCTCTCTCTCCCTCCACTCTCTCTCTTTCTCTTTCTCTCTTTCTTTCTCTCTCTTTTCTCTCTTTTCTCTCTCTTTCTCTCTGTTCTCTCTCTTTTTCTCTTTTTCTCTCTCTCTCTCTCTCTCCCTCCCCCCCACCCCCAGCCTTTGTATCAGGCACCTCAGGGGGTGGAGGAATGGTGCCCCTCCCATTTGAAAGACAGGGGGGAGACTTAGGGGTAGTGTAAAACCTGACCTCTTGGAAGAAGAAGGGGAGGGGATGAGTCGTTATTTCTTCTTCTTCTTCTTCTTCTTCTTCTTCTTCTTCTTCTTCTTCTTCTTCTTCTTCTTCTTCTTCTTCTTCTTCTTCTTCTTCTTCTTCTTCTTCTTCTTCTTCTTCTTCTTCTTCTTCTTCTTCCTCTCCTCCTCTTCCTCTCCTTTTCCTTCTCCTCCTCTCCCTTCCCTTTCCCCTTCTCCCCTCCCCCTTTCTCAGAAAAGCAAGAAGCAAAGTTGCACCTGCTTCTTCTTCCTCCTCCTCCTCCTCTTCCTCCTCCTCCTCCTCCTCCCCCCCCCTCTTGTTCTCCTCTGCAGGATCCACCACCCTAGCATCGCATCAGAGCTGCCTTCCTCTTTCTTGGCACGGCCTTGAGGAGAGTGGGCACGGCCATCTGCAGCCCTCACCGTCTGCTCGGCACCGTTCTTGCTGTCTTGCCATCCTCCGCCGGTCCTGCTGCCATCCAGGCTTTGCCACCCACTGCCGGGTGGTGCTGGGGGGGGCGATGCCAGCTCGGTGACACCCCCCCCTGCCTCTCCGTTCCCCCTTGCAGGGATTCGTGTCCCCCATCAAGCGCCTGGTCTTCCCGAAGGCCTCCCGCAAGCAAGCGCTCAAGGGCAACGTGTGTCGCCGGCGGCCCCTCCACTCCGTGCCTCTGTACCCCCCAGACTACCTCATTGACCCCCAGATTCTGCTGCAGGACTATGTGGAAAAAGAGGTGAAGGTGAGCACCGGAGGGGGGGCACCCCCAGAGGGAGCCGGGGGGGAGCCAGCAAGCTCAGTCCGTTCCCACAGCGTCTTTCTTCGCCCCTCTGCCAAGTCTGCCAACCTGGGGGGGGGGGTTGCTCTCTGATTGTTTTCCTGCAGACATTTTATTACAAAGCCCAGCACTCTCCTAGCCCTGATGATGTTCCCTAGTTGGGTCATGAAACGTCTGCAAGAAAAGATCCAAGCTCAGGGAGCATCAAGTTCTCCTCCACAGTCCTCCTCCTCCTCCTCCTCCGCTTCTTCTTCTTCTTCTTCTTCTTCTTCTTCTTCTTCTTCTTCTTCTTCTTCTTCTTCTTCTTCTTCTTCTTCTTCTTCTTCTTCTTCTTCTTCTTCTTCTTCTTCTTCTTCTTCTTCTTCTTCTTCGTCTTCTTCGTCTTCTTCTTCTTCTTCCTGCCTCCCTCCCTCCCTCCCTCCCTCCTCCCTGCATATCCCACTCCCTTCTAGCACTGATGATGTTACCAAGTTTGCGTAATGAAATGTCTGCAAGAAAACCACCCAGCTAAGAGAGCACCAAGGACTCCACAGTTGTCGTCGTCGTCATCCTCCTCCTCCTCCTCCTCCTCCTCCCTGCAAACCCCACTCCTGGGATTCCTTGGTGCTCTCAGAGGTTGTTTTCTTGCAGATGTTTTATTACAAACCCCACCACCCTACTAGCACTGCTGATGTTACCTAGTCTGGTCAGGAAACATCTGCAAGAAAACCACCAAACTCAGAGAGCACCAAGGACCCCACAGTCCTTCCTCCTCCTCCTCCTCCTCCTCCTCCTCCCCCCATTTCCTTCTAGCACTGATGATGTTACCTGGTTGGGTCATGAAACGTCTGCAAGAAAAGATCCAAGCTCAAGGAGCATCAAGTCCTCCTCCTCTTTTTCTTCCACCTCCTCCTCCTCCTCCTCCTCCTCCTCTTCCTCCTCCTCCTCCTGCAAAAAATGCCCCATAGGGAACAATCAGCTTGTTTAAAAACTGCGATGTTCTCTTCACGACCACCTGTAAAAAAAACCAGGTTTGGTCACAATGCTGATTCACTTTATAACCGCCAGTGACTGAGTTTGCAGATTAGTTGTTGACTTCTGCAACCTGGTGCCCCCCCAGCGGGGAGAACCCACTCCTGGATTGGGAGTCCTCGGCTTACGACCACCACCGAGCCCAAACTTTCCGTTGCTAAGCGAGGCGGCGGTTTAGTTCAGCTTTGCCCCATTTTTACGACTCTGCTTGCCACGGTTGTTAAGTGAATCGCTGTGGCCGTTAAGAGAGTAAGGCGGTTGTTAAGCGACTCCGCCTTCCCCATTGGCTTTGCTGGTCAGAAGGCTGCAAAAGGGGACTCCGGGACTCACGTGACTCCGGGACTCACGTGACTCACGTGACTCACGTGACTCTGGGACTCACGTGACTCCGGGACTCACGTGACTCCGGGACGCCGCAACTGGTCCTAAGTAATGTCAGTTGCCAAGCGTCTCAATTTTGATCACGTGATCGCAGGAAATGCTGCAATGGTCGTGTGAAAAAATGGTCGCTGCATGTGGATGTAAGACGAGGACTTCCCATTTTATGGGATGGGGTTGCTTTGAGGCAGGGGTCTTCAAACTTGGCCCTTTTATGACTTCTGGACTTCAACTCCCAGAATTCCCCAGCCAGCATGAATATTCAATTCCCAGAATTCCCCAGTCAGCATGGATGGACTTCAACTCCCAGAATTCCCTAGTCAGCATGGATGGACTTATCCTAAAATTCCTGTCAGCGTGGATGGATTTCAACTCCCAGAATTCCCCAGTCAGCATGGATGGACTTATCCTAAAATTCCTGTCAGCATGGATGGACTTCAACTCCCATAATTCCCCAGCCATCCAGAAACAATATTCTAAGCCAGGGGTCTTCAAACTTGGCCCTTTCATGACTTGGGGACTTCAACTCCCATAATTCCCCAGCCATCTAGAAACAATACCCTAAGCCAGGGGTCTTCAAACTTGGCCCTTTCATGACTTGGGGACTTCAACTCCCATAATTCCCCAGCCATCTAGAAATAATACCCTAAGCCAGGGGTCTTCAAACTTGGCCCTTTCATGATTTGGGGACTTCAACTCCCAGAATTCCTAAGCCAGGCACGCTGGCTGAGGAATTCTGGGAGTTGAAGTCCACAAGTCATAAAAGGGCCAAGTTTGAAGACCCCCTGCTTGTGGACTTCCCAGAATTCCTCAGCCAGGCACGCTGGCTGAGGAATTCTGGGAGTTGAAGTCCACCAGTCACGAAAGGGCCAACTTTGAAGATCCCTGGTTTAGGACTATAGACCTGTATTACATTCTTTATGAGGGGGAAAAAAGCAGAAATCTTACCCTTGTTCTACATTTAGTGATAATTACCTATCTCCCAGCCGCAGAGCCACAAAGCAGCCCACAAAAATCTGAACTAGGCCTCTATCTACTCTTTTTTTCCAGAATGTTCCTTCAGGATTTCCTCAAAATACTCATACCTGCCTTATATATTCTATAGAACAGAGGTCCTCAAACTTGGCTCTTTGATGACTTGTGGACTTCAACTCCCAGAATTCCTCAGCCAGGCACGCTGGGTGAGGAATTCTGGGAGTTGAAGTCCACAAGTCATCAAAGGGCCAACTTTGCAGACCCCTGCTTTGGGGTCTTGGGGCAACTCAGAGGGGAATTGGGGGGGGCTGAGCAGTTTTAGGGAGAGGGCCAAACCTGAAAGAAACTTTAGGGAGGCTGAACCAAATAAAGTGGAAATAAATCTCATTTTGAAAAGGATCTGTGCAAAATGGGCCAGGCCAGAACCATTTTTCCCGCTCTCCCCCCACCCCAAGCCTGAATTGCGGCCAAAATCCCCAATTTATGAACATCCTGAACGATGAAAGCAGCCCGAAACAAAAGAAAGCGGGAGATGTGTTCCTGATTCACGCAGGCTGTGCTAACCGTAAATTCTCCCTTTAAAAAAAATAATATTTACTCCTCTTTCATTTTGATCTTTTCTCATTCCTTTTTCTCTTTTTTTTCGCCTCAGTTTTTAGGCCACTTGACCTGGGTGAACAGCTCCCTGAACCCCTCCAGCCGGGACGAATTGTTGCAGCTTTTGGATACCGCGAGGGTAACCCCACGATGTGCTTCAATCCTATTAGAATTAGAATTAGAATAACAGAGTTTGGAAGGGACCTTGGAGGTCATCTAGTCTAACCCCCTGCCCAAGCAGGAGACACTACACGGTTTCCAGCAGTTGGCAGTCCAGTCTCTTCTTCAAAGCTAGTTGTTAATAATAATAATAATAATAATAATAATAATAATAATAATAATAATAATAATAACAACAACAACAACAACAACAACAACAATAATAATAATAATAATAATAAAGTTGGAAGGGACCTTGGAAGTCATCTAGTCCAACCCTCCGGCCAAGCAGGAGACCCTACACCATTTCTGACAGAGGGCAGTCCAGTCTCTTCTTGAAAGCTAGTTGTTAATTATAGAGGTCATCTAGTCCAACCCCCTGCTCAGGCAGGAAACCCTATTCCATTTCGGACAAATGGCTGTCCAGACTCTTCTTAAAAACTTCCAGTGTTGGAGCATTCACACCTTCTGGAGGCAAGTAGTTCCACTGACTAATTGTTCTCATGTTGCTTTCATGTTGCTCAATTAACTGTGAAAATAGTCCTCGACTTAACAACAATTTGTTTAGTGACCGTTAGGAATTACAAGTGACTTCTGACCATTTTCACCCTTACGATAGTTGCATAACCCCCGTAGTCATGTGATCAAAATTCGGACGCTTAGCAACTGGCATGTACTTATGACGGTTGCAGGGTCTCCGGGGGGTCACATGATCCCCTTTGCGACCTTCTGACCAAGAACGTCAATGGGGAAAAGACAGATTCACTTAATGACCGTGTTATTAACAATTGCAGTGATTCACTTAACAACTGAGGCAAGAAGGTTCATAAAATGGGGCAAAACTCACTTAAATGTCTCAGCAAAAGAGATTTTGGTCATAAGTTGAGGACTCCCAGAATTCCCCAGCCAGATCCATGTGTCTCAACCTCAGCCACTTGAAGATGGGGGGACTTCAACTCCCAGAATTCGCCAGCCAGATCCATGTGTTTCAACCTCAGCACTTGAAGCTAAGTGGACTTCAACTCCCAGAATTCCCCAGCCAGATCCATGTGTCTCAACCTCAGCCACTTGAAGATGGGGGACTTCAACTCCCAGAATTCCCTAGTCAGCAAGGTGAGCTGGTCCACCCATCTTAATGCTGTTCAGTTGAGAAACACTCTACATTTAATCCTCGACTTTTGATCACATGACTGTCGGGCCGCTGTGCCGGTCGTAACTGTGAGGACCAGTTGTAAGTTGCTTTCTTCAGTGCAACTTCAAACGGTCGCTAATCGAATGATTGTAAGTCGAGGACTCTCTGTATTAGCGGAAAGGACAAATGGAGCAGGGAGATTGCGTCTAATTCTGAACTAATGTTTGCAAATCAAATCCAATCAACCTTGATTGTCAAAGTACAACATGTGTACCATGAGATTGGCTGAGCAGGAGAACATTTGCAGTCTCAGCTAACGAGATTGCGTCATTTGCGCACAAAAAGTACACAAAACGTCACCTGCCCAGCCAGGATATTCCTCCAGACACTTGTGAGTGTGATCGTTAAAAAAAATAGCTGGATAACAGGAAAAAAGTGAGGGTTGGGTTTTTTTTTGAATGGGCAATTAATTTTGACAAAGGGACATATGAGACTCTGGGACTTTTGTGGAGGGCTGAAACAAGAGAGTTGTGAAGGTGCATAGGCACGCACGCACATGTGTAAATTGAAAAAAAAAGTGGCTTTCAAAATAAAAGAAATTCCCTTTTTTATATCTGGTTTCTAATTTCTGATTGACCTCACCTGGCTGGAGAGGGATAGCCAAAGGGCCAGATGTAGCCTAGGGGTGGGGTCATAAAATGCCTAGGTCCGTGGTGGCGAATCTATGGCACGCGTGCCACAGGTGGCACGCAGAGCCCTTTTCGTGGACACGCATGCCATCCTAGGCCTTCAGCTGGGTTTTATAAAACCTTTTCACTTTAGGCCTCCGCTGCCGTGTGCAAAAACAAAAAAAAAGGTTCAATCAATCAATCAATTTCAACTTCTCGCGGGGAAAAAAAAAGATCTTGCAAAGTTGGAATTGATTGATTGAACTTTTTAGTCCCACCCAGTATGCCGTTACAACCGCAGCCATGCCCACCCACTGGGCCACGCCCACACAATTGGTCACACCCACCCACTGGGCCACGCCCACCCGGCACCCGATGATACATAAGTGGGTTTTGGGTTGCAGTTTGGGCACTCGGTCTCTAAAAGGTTCGCCATCACTGGCCTAGGTCTTCCAAACTTGGCAACTTTCATACCTATGGGCTTCAAGCATGGCTGGCTGGGGAATTCTGGGAGTTGAAGTCCACCCATCTTAAAGTTGCCAACTTTGGAGACCCCCCCCCTGCTCTGCAGTGAGAGATAAATTCTATAATCTGCTGCAAAGGAAATTGGAAACTTCTATTCGTTTTTGTTCTTCCTTGGAATTTGCAGCCAACCAAGGGGAATTCTCTGATCCTCTGGACTCTTGGTCCCGCCTGCATCTTTCTACAAAAAAAAATCCTACTTTTTTTTGCCCTTGGGATCCAGTGGTTGTCCAAGGAATTGGAAGAGCTGAGGAGAGTGGGGAATCTCATGCCGCAAAGGGGGTCTGCGTGGGATGCCGGGGCTATGTCACCCCTGAGTTTTCCCTAACTTTGGCTGCTTTTGCTCCTCCCGCAGCAACTGAAGGAGCTGCCGCTGAAGACCACACCTGAGCAGGACAGCATCCTGAGTCTCTCTGCCCGTTGCCTGCTGCTCACCTGGCGGGACAATGAGGAGCTCATCCTTAGGATCCCGACCCATGAAATTGCTGCGGCTTCCTACCTGAGGGACGATGCACTGCACCTGCTGGTGCTGAAGACAGGTGCGCTGTGGAGGATGGGAGATTATGGGGGAAGCTGGGTGGGAACTCCTTACGTGTCAGAGCGTGCACAGTCTTATTGCGCTGAGATAACTCAGGAGTAAACACAGTCAACAGTGGTCTATATTAAATGGTGGTTTATCTTACACTATCTACAATATCATACACCGGGAACAATATACATACACGTGTTAATGCAGCAGTCTCCACCACACACAGTTACAGCAGGAAACAGAGAAGAGAGAGAGAGACATCAGCAAAGCCTTCCCTTTTATACAGGGCTCTTAAAGAGATACAGACCCTGCTGGCTCTTAAAGGGACATAAACCCTGCTGAGTCATTCCCAACATTACGTCATCCATCTTACATTACATCAGCTGGTTAGCTCCTAAATCATTACCTTGACATTATGCCTCTCCTCACTTAAGTTGGCTGTTACAAGGGAGAGGCTCCTTTTGATTGGCTGCGTCTCTTGCCTGCCCCAACTCTTCCCGCCCCCAATTTGCAGGCCTTGGGCCAAGATCTGGATCAGGTCCAGGTCCTGCTCAGGTCTCAAATCAGGACAAAGTCCAGATCCAAGTCTGGGTCCAGATCCAAGTCTGGATCCAGGTCCAGGTCCGGATCTAGATCCCGAACCGGATCTGGATCCAGGTCCTGGTCCAGGTCAAGATAGAGATCCAAGTCAAGGCCTAGGCCAGGGGTGGGGAACCTTGGCTTTTTTATGATGTGGACTTGTGGACTTCAACTCCCAGAATTCCTGAGCCAGCCATGCTGGGAATTCTGATAGTTGACATCCACAAGTCATAAAAGAGCTAAAGTTCCCCACCCCTGGCCTAGGTTCAAGTCTCGATCCAGTTCCAGGTCTAGATTGAGCCAAAGATCTAGATCCCAGTCCAGGTCTAGCTCTAGAATGAGGACCATGTCTGGATTCAGATCTGGATCCAAGTCCAGGTCCTGATTTAGATCCTGAACCAGATCTGGATCCAGGTCCTGGTATAGGTCACAGATCCAAGCCAAGGCCTAGGTCCAGGTATAGATCCAGTTCCAGGTCTAGATCCAACCAAAGATCTAGACCCCGTTCCAGGTTCAGGTGTAGAACGAGGACCAGGTACAGACTCAGATCCAGGTCCTGATCCATTATCTAAACTCAAATCCGGGGTCCAGATCTAGATGCAGGTCCAGGTCCAGGTCTTGATCCAGATCCAGGTGCCAGTCCAAAATCAGGAGCAGGTCCAGGTCCAAGTCAGATCATCCTCCTCCTTCATCTCATCTCCCTGAGTCCCTCGGGAGAAGGGCGGGGTATAAATTAAAGTATTATTAGTATTATTAGTATTATTCATCCTCCTCTTCTTCATCATCATCAACAAGAACAGCATCAGGGCTGGGTCCATGTCCTTATGGCTTCCTCGCCTGCAGTTCCGGCTTCCGAGGCTGCCGGCTCCACCGTTTTTATGGCAAATGTCCTTTTCCCTTCCAGGTTTGGCAGATTCCTTCGTAAGCATGGTAAGGAGTCTCTGGAGATGCCAGTCTAAACGCCAAGGAAAGTGTGTGTTTGTGTGTGTGTGTGTGTGTGTGTGTAAGTGTCTGTGTGTAAGTGCGTGTGTGTGAAAGAGACGGTGGCATTAAAAATCCAAAATCCAAAATCCATTCTGCTGGCGGGGCACTGGATTAGGGGACTGGAGGCTAAAACATATAAGGAACGGCTGCTGGAATTGGGTCTGTCTAATGAAGAGAAGGACGAGGGGGGACAGGATAGCAGTGATCCAGTATCTCAGGGGCTGCCCCAAAGAAGAAGGAGTCAAGCTATTCTCCGAAGCGCCTGAAGGCAGGACAAGAAGCAATGGATGGAAACTAACAAAAGAGAGAAGCAACTTAGAACTAAGGAGAAACTTCCTGACAGTGAGAACAATTAACCAGTGGAAGAACCTGCCTCCAGAAGCGGTGAATGCTCCAACACTGGAAGTCTTGAAGAATAGACTGGACAGCCATTGGTCCGAAATGGTGTAGGGTTTCCTGCCTGAGCAGGGGGTTGGACTAGATGACCTCCAAGGTCCCTTCTAACTTTATCATCATCATCATCATCATCATTATTATTATTATCATCATCATCATCAAAGGTGAGAGAGCAGAAAGAGGGAAGCCCAGCACAGCTGGAGCCATGGCTGGAACAGGACTCGACCCAGACAGGGAGGCTGGGAGCGCTCACTGGAGGGTCCTGATGCCAGAGCCCAGCTGGTTCGGGAGGCGGGGTCCAGTTGAGCCCCTGCAGGCATCACTTCGCTGCCTCTTATCCCCAACTGTAGGGCTGCTTCCTGACCCCTTGCAGGGCAACCTGGCTGCAGCGTGTGGGCCAAGGGCGCCCTCTGGTGCCCAGACACCATCAGAAGCACAAAGAATCAGAATCAGAATTGAGTTGGAAGGGCCCTTGGAGGTCTTCTATCTAGTCCAGCCCCCTGCTCAAGCAAGAGACCCTAGGGGGGTTTGTGGGGGGAGGAGGAGGAGAAGGAGAAGGAGGAAGGGCTCTGGGGTCCTTGGTGCTCTCTGAGCTTCATTGTTTTCTTGCAGACATTTTATTACCCAATTAGAGAACATCATCAGTGCTAGAAGGGGGGGGGGTTTGTATAGAGGAGGAGGAGGAGGAGGAGGAAGAGGAGGAGAAGGAAGAGGAGGAGGAGGACGACGACGACGACGATGATGACTGTGGGGTCCTTGGTGCTCTCTGAGCCTGGTGGTTTTCTTGCAGACATTTCATCTCCCAAACTAGTAACATGGTCATTATTGGTCTCTTAGGCTGACTTCCTTCTGTTTCTCCTTCTGCCAGGCCTGGGCGTTGATCCAGTTCCTGCAGGTGGCACCCTGGACCTTTGTCCCGGAGTCCCGAAACTGGACAAGAAATATCCTGCAGGAGCCGCCGTCGAGAAGAGAGCCCCGGACGTACGGCAGCTGGGCTGTCCCATGGAACGGCGCCACACCATCTGCAGCCTGGACTGGAAGATGTCCCGAGGTGGGTCCGAGGGACGCCCAAGCGGCGGAGGGAGCCTGGAGCGCAAGCAGGCCACGGGCAGCTGGGAGAAGAGACAGCGGACCAGTAGTGGCACCGGGAGAGCCTTCGGCAGCTGGGAACACCGGCAGACGCAGAGTGGCAGTTGGGAACGCCGGCACGGCAGCCAAGCCGGGGGCAGCTGGGAGCGCGGGAAGACCTACGGCAGCTGGGAGCACCGGCACGCGGGGGGCAACCCCCTGGACCCCAAGGAGCCCTGCCCGGATGCCTACTGCAACCTGGTCATCTTGGCCGTGGCCAACCGAGTGAGTGCAACTCTGCGGTGAGAGGTTTTTCACAAGGTCACACACAGAGGGTCCCCCACGCATTTAGCAGGAGCCAAAATGTTGGTTTGCTTTCGGTTTGAAAGTCAAGGGGACACCATAAAGCAGGGTGTTACGGTTTCGACAGGTGAAACTCTTCAAAGAACTTCGAGGCATTGTTTACCTTAAAGAATCTTTATTCGAGTAGTAATACATCGGCACATACATAGTCCAAGCCAAAATGTGGCTTCCCCTCCCCTCAGCACATAGTATCAAAGCACAATTCCTTCCTCTAACTCAAGGCGTTTCAACCAGTGGTACAGGTACCACCCGTGGTACATTGGCACCTGGCAGGTGGTACACGACCATCCTAGAAAAGTGGTAGCAGGGGGGGGGGAATGAGCTGAACTGGTGGCAGCACCGCACAAGCCTGAGCGAGAGACGGCTGGAGCTGCAGGGCTGTCAGGGCTCAGCGGAAGCGCCAGGATCAGCGCTTCTTTGGGACTGTCAGGGCTCAGCGGAAGCGCCAGGATCAGCGCCAGGCTCCAGCTGGAGTTCAGCGCTGATCCTGGCGCTTCTGCTGAGCCAGGAAGAAGCGCCAATCAGCTGGAATGTTGCAGCCTCTCCAGGGTCTTGTGATTTACATTCAGATGCTTGGCAACCGATTCCTATTTATGACGGTCACAGTGTCCCAGGGTCATGTGAAGGGACCAAAACCTGCTGCAACCACCCAGCAGACGGGGGGAATAAAAACCAAACACCCCCCCACCCCACCCCCACTGCCAATCCTCAACAGAAATGCTCACAACAATGGAAACCTCGGACAGGAGGAAGAGCGCGGCCGGGTGGGCAGGCAGGTGTCTTGCTCGGCTGTGCCTTGGGGGGCACTTTTTTCAGTGCCATTGTAACTTCAAACAGTCACTAAGCGAACTGTTGTAAGTCGAGGACTACCTGTACTTTATCACTTTTGGGGGGGGGTCATCAAGTTTTTGACACCTTGCTAGGCGACTGGTGGTACTCGGATATTGCCATATCCCAGGGGTAGGCAACCTTGGCTCTTTTATGACTCGTGGACCTCAACTCCCAGAATTCCTGAGCCAGCCACGCTGAGGGGAAAGGGAAAGGTTTCCATGCTGAGCCATGCTGGCTCAGGAATTCTGGGAGTTGAAGTCCACGAGCCATAAAAGAGCTAAAGTTGCCTACCCCTGCCATATCCTAAAAGTGGTACAATGGGTGAAAAGGTTGAAAAGCCCTGCTCTAACAGTCATAAATCACATTCTCCAATTAGTTTGAAATGCAGGCTTTCCACCCAGTTCTTCAACCCGCCATTTCTTATCATCTCTTATTATACAGTATCGTTTGTCTAACTCAGGGCTTTCCCCTCAGCATGGCTGGCTCAGGAATTCTGGGAGTTGAAGTCCACGAGTCATAAAAAAGCCAAGGTTGCCTACCCCTGGCCTAAGTCCTTCTGTTCTAAGCGGTGAGTCTCCTAGAGCAGGGGTAAGCCACCTCGGCTCTTTTATGACTCGTGGACTTCAACTCCCAGAATTCCTAAGCCAGCACGGAGACGGTGAGTTCTAGTCCCACCTTAGCTGTTAAAGCTGTCTAGGTGACTTTGGGTCAGTCATTCTCGCAGTCCCACCTACCTCACAGGGTTGGTTTTATGAGGAAAATAGGAGGAGGGAATCGTGTTAGATAGTTTGACCACTTTTAATTATTTTTAAAAATAACAAAGGCAGGACACAAGTAAACAAAGCGGCAATAACTCTTTCCCTCCCTCCTGTTCACACAGGATATGGCCGAGGAATCCTGCGCACTGATCTGTCAGGTTTTCCAGATCATTTACGGCGACCAAACCATCGAGTGTGTGGATCGGGCCGGCTACCACTACACCTCCACCCCGAAACGGCCTTGGCTGTCCAGCCGGAGTGAGTCCCCCCCCCCCTTGCAGGGCTTGAGAACCCCAAAGTTCGGGTGTGCCCCAGAAATTGGGTGCTGCCTTTGGAAGCAGCTTTTTCTCAACTTCTGCGTTCTCATGAAGTTGGGTGCAGACCTACGGGGCGTCCTCAACTTTCAATTGTTCATTTAGTGACGAGGGCACTGAAACAAGTGACTTATGACCCTTTTTCCCACCCTTACGTCCGTTGCAGCCTCCCCGTGATCAAAATTCAGACCCTCGGCAACCGGCTCCTATTTATGACGGTCGCAGCGTCCCCCACGGAGTCACCGTGATCCCCTTTTGCGACCTTCCGACGAGCAACATCAATGTGGGGGAAGCCGGATTCGCTTAATGACCGTGTTTCTATGTGAAAAACTGCAGTGATTCATTTAACAACTACGGCAAGAAAAGTCGTAAAACGGAGCAAAACTGACAACACAAATGTTGGGCTCCACTGCGGTCATACGTCTCGCTTAACCACGATGGCAAAAAAGATCGTAAAATAGAGCAAAGCTCACTTAACAACGGTCTCGCTTTGAAACAGAAACGGGTTCCGTTGTGGTCATAAGTCGAGGACTGCCTGTAACTGGGCTGGGGAATTCTGGGAGTGGAAGCCCAGGGGTCAAAGTTGCCAAAGTTGAAAAACACTGTGGGAGAGCGGGAGAGAAATCGTTTCAGGTTGGTCCTCGCCTTATGACCGTAAGGGAGCCTGGAATTACGGTCGTATGTCCTGGATGTTGTTCAGTGGGTTACCACGGGACTGCACCCCCACCCCCACAATTTTACATCCGTTTTTGAAGCGGTGATTAAATGAAAGTAAAAGCCGCCACGGTCCTTAAGCCTGTCCTTTTTAGCAAACAAGCATTCCTTACTGGAAATCAGAATATAGTCCTTGACGTACGACCAAAATTGGTGTTGCAAAACAAGTCGGCGGTTAAGTGAGTTTCTCTCTATTTGATGATCTTTCTTGCTGCAGTCGTTAAGTGAGTAAGATGGTTGTTAAGTGAGCCTGGCTTCCCCCATTGACTTTGCTCGTCGGAAGGGTGCAAAACGGGATCACGTGACACCCTCCACGGGACATGGCGACCGTCATAAGTGTGAACCAGTGGGCAAGCGCCGGAATTTTGATCACGTGACCCTGGGGAGGCTGCAACAGTCGTGAGTGTGAAAAAACGGCCGTTAAGTCGCTTTTTTCAGTTGCCGTTGTAACTCCGAACGGTTGCTAAACAGACTCTTGTAAGTCGAGGACTATGGGGCAAAAAAAAAAAGTCAGAAATTGCAGTCGCGTGACCGTGGGACACTGGAAAGGGCCGTAAATGCAAGCTGGGTTGTCGAGGGCCGAAACCCGAGCGCACGACTGGCTGTCAGAACTTGGAAATTGGGTCGTAAGTGCCTTTTGGGGTGGTCTGTCCTAACTTTGAGCGGTTGCTTAGCGACCGGTCGCTAAGCGAGGATTACGTGTACGGAGAGACGGATATTGACTGAAGTTGGAAGATGGAAAACTTGGTTCCTGACCAGCTTCTTCTTTGCCTTGTGGTCTCCCTTCCCAGGTGAGAGCTGTCGGACCGAGGGGACGTACGCTTACGACGCCGACTTTAGCTGCTGCAGCTCCTTGTAAGCGCCGCTTGCGCGACGGCTGGCGAACCGGAAGTCCAACTGGACCGTTGCTTTTCTTTCTTTCTTTCTTTCTTTCTTTCTTTCTTTCTTTCTTTCTTTCTCTTTCTTTCTTTCTTTCTTTCTTCCTCCCTCCCTTTCTTTCTTTCTCTTTTTCTTTCGTTCTCTCCCTTCCTTCCTTCCTTCCACCCTTCCTTCCTTCTCCCCTTTCTTTCTTTCTTTCTTCCTCTCCCTTCCTCCCTCCCTCCCTCCCTTTCTTTCTTTCTTTCTTTCTTTCTTTCTCTCTCTTTTTCTTTCTTTCTCTCCCTTCCTTCCTTCCTCCCTCCCTCTCTTTCTTTCTTTCTTTCTTCCTCTCCCTTCCTTTCTCCCTCCCTCCCTTTCTTTCTTTCTCTTTTTCTTTCTTCCTCTCCCTTCCTCCCTCCCTCCTTCCCTTTCTTTCTTTCTCTTTTTCTTCCTTTCTCTCCCTTCCTTCCTCCCTCCCTCCCTCCTTCTTTCTTTCTTTTTTTCTTTCTTTTTCTTTCTTTCTCTCCCTTTCTTCCTCCCATCCTTCCATCCTTCCTTCCTTCCTTCCTTCCTTCCTTCCTCCCTCCCTCCCTCTCTTTCTTTCTTTCTTTCTTTCTTTCTTTCTTTCTCTTCTTCATCATCTTCTTTTCTTCCTCTTCCTCCTCCTCCTCCTCCTCCTCCTCCTTCTTCTCCTTCTCCTCTTCCTCCTCCTCCTCCTCCTCCTCCTCCTCCTTTTTTCTCTTTTTGTTTTTCCTCTCCTCCAAAACTAAATCTGCTGGTGGGGATTCTGTTAAATAGAGCGGGGAATTCCCAGCCCGGCCCCCAAACTCCCTTCCCAGCCCCACCGTGACCCAGAACAGAACGGGACGACTTGGCGTGCCCCACGTGCTGCAGCCGACTCGGCCTGCCCAATTCACAGTGGGAAAACTCACTGCGGGACAGTTCAACGATTCATCTATTTAAAATAATGTTTAAACTGTTCCAATTTTTTCCTTCGCGCGTTATTTTGCTCTTCCTTTTGGTGCCCTTTCTTTAACGATTGTATTCCGCTATTTCTTCGATATTGGTGTTCGCTCTTGTTCTCCGGCAATTTGCCCCGCCGCAAGTTTAGAATTTAGAATAAAATAGAAGCTGGAAGGGACCTCGGAGGTCTTCTAGTCCAGCCCCCTGCTCAAGCAGGAGACCCCGGA